TATATATATATATATATATATATATATATATATATATATATATATACATACATAACAAATAAATTATGAAACTAATATATATATATATTATATAATTTATATATAATTAATTTATAATTAATTTAGCTAAAGTGTTTTTGAGTTTATGAGATCTAAATGTGCTCATATCTCTCTATTTTTCTCCACCTGTGTCTCTCTGGCTCAGAGCTCATCTATAAAGAGGTGATGAACTTCGAGGAGAGAACAAAGAATGGTGTGGTGAAGGGACAGCCCTCTCCCTCAGGTACTCTCTGTGCATAAGCTGTGCTTCTGTAAGTCAATTTAAAGTGATTTCAGCTGTTTATGAGAAACCCTCCCATTGTGACTGCTCCATTTGTCCCTGTCCCCCCTCATCTCGTCAAACAGAACACGTCTTGAGTGTGATTACGTGCTGGTTTTTAATGTTATTTTGAAACTGTTTTTGTCTGTTGTAGTCTTTTTATTAATTAAAGGTGCTGTAAGTGTTTTCAGCCACTGCTTTCCACTAAAAATTCTATAAAACCCCGCCCACAAAGACATGGCAACGGAAGTACACAGTGATTGACTGGCAGAGAGTGTTTCTGATTGGCTAAAAAACATGGGTCTCCCCCAAGGGTTTGTGCTCAAAAAGTTGTGAATTATTAGAACCTTGTCAGATTATAGGGATATTTTATTTGAGGTATATAAAAAAAAACGCTTACAGCATCTTTAAGAAAGCACTTTATCTGTATTTATTTTAGCCTATTTTCCACTTAAAGAGTTACGCTTGACCCTTCGCTAAGCCCCGCCTTAAAGATGTCACTGACCAATCCTATATTAGCAACTGTTGCCATCCAATATTCTATATTCAAAAAGCTTAGTCTCTTTTATTATGTAAATCAGTGGAGGACCTGTGAGATTTACACTCAATTTTATGGAAAACATAAAAAAATACAATTGTTATTTTTCATGAAAATCAGTAAGAACCCCTGTAATCACTTTCAGATTATACATAATAATACATATACATGTAATTTTTTTTCAGTTGACTCTGGGAAGTTTTTGCTTTTGGATTCTAGAGTTTATGCACTTGTTACTCTGTAATTCAAACTTGTGTTGTTTTAGTATTATTTATATAATATTACAGTACTTTTTAAATATGCATACTATATGAATACTATATTAATTAGCTTTTATTTGAATTTATTTTAAGTTTTAGTCTTTTTTATATGCTCTTGTCATTTTTATTAGGATATATTTTTGCATCTAGATGTAAATAAGTGTGTGTGTGTGTGTGTGTGTGTGTGTGTGTGTGTCTGTGTGTACATACACACACACACACACACATTTATTTAATATATTTATTATTATATATTTCTAATTCAGCTTATTTTTATTTCTGATTTTTTTAACAGTTGTAGATTAAGTTAACAATAACAACACTGGGCAGCACTTTGGACATTTTGTCCCCACAACATAAGGTCCTAAATGAAGACATAGTGAAGTAAAATGCTATTAATAAAATACAATTAACAGACTCTTAAAAAAAAAAAAAAAACGTAATTTTACCATCATGAAAATCTACTAGTAATTTGTTAATTTTGTTTTTGTTGGTTTTTAATGAACCTAAAGTAGTTTGAGTTGATTAGATCTAAATGTGCTCTTTCTCTCTGTTTTTCTCCCCCTGTCTCTCTGGCTCAGAGCTCATCTATAAAGAGGTGATGAACTTCGAGGAGAGAACAAAGAATGGTGTTGTGAAGGGACAGCCCTCTCCCTCAGGTACTCTCTGTGCATAAGCTATGCTTCTGTAAGTCAATTTAAAGTGATTTCAGCTGTTTATGAGAAACCCTCCCATTGTGACTGCTCCATTTGTCCCTGTCCCCCCTCATCTCGTCAAACAGAACACGTCTTGAGTGTGATTACGTGCTGGTTTTTAATGTTATTTTGAAACTGTTTTTGTCTGTTGTAGTCTTTTTATTAATTAAAGGTGCTGTAAGTGTTTTCAGCCACTGCTTTCCACTAAAAATTCTATAAAACCCCGCCCACAAAGACATGGCAACGGAAGTACACAGTGATTGACTGGCAGAGAGTGTTTCTGATTGGCTAAAAAACATGGGTCTCCCCCAAGGGTTTGTGCTCAAAAAGTTGTGAATTATTAGAACCTTGTCAGATTATAGGGATATTTTATTTGAGGTATATAAAAAAAAACGCTTACAGCATCTTTAAGAAAGCACTTTATCTGTATTTATTTTAGCCTATTTTCCACTTAAAGAGTTACGCTTGACCCTTCGCTAAGCCCCGCCTTAAAGATGTCACTGACCAATCCTATATTAGCAACTGTTGCCATCCAATATTCTATATTCAAAAAGCTTAGTCTCTTTTATTATGTAAATCAGTGGAGGACCTGTGAGATTTACACTCAATTTTATGGAAAACATAAAAAAATACAATTGTTATTTTTCATGAAAATCAGTAAGAACCCCTGTAATCACTTTCAGATTATACATAATAATACATATACATGTAATTTTTTTTCAGTTGACTCTGGGAAGTTTTTGCTTTTGGATTCTAGAGTTTATGCACTTGTTACTCTGTAATTCAAATTTTTTTAAAGACAAATGGCTGAAAAAGAAACTGCTTTGCAGTGTCAGTTTATTCCAGCCCATATTAAAATAAGACCCAATTCTTTTTTTTTACCAACAAATCTTTTATGTTCTGTAATGCTTGCTTGAGTTGGCAACTGTAACCAAGAGGTGGAGCTTAGCGAAGGGGATTTTTTTTGTCTTTACATTATGTAAAGAAACCATAAATAAATAAACCATTATGTAAATAAATGCTACAGGAATGTAAAAATCACCAAGTAATGGTATAATAAAAAAGATTAAGCAAATTAATGCTTGGGTTTAAAACAAAAATGTTGGGAACTGATGTGTTAATGTTTAAAAATGTATTTGTATATGATTTTATATTGTCTATTTGCCACTGTATATGTACACGTTTCATAATTAAGGTTGGAGTCCATGGCATCTAATTTCATCATTTACAATATTAATATATTTCAGGCAAGTCTGAAATATTTTTAGGGATTAGTTTGTGTCAAGAATTTGCTAACTGACTCAGCGAAGAGGCTTTTTCTTTGAGGTTTGTGGGATGTTGAGCTGCAGTGTCTGCGTGTGTGTGTGTGTGTGTGTGTGTGTGAGCTGCAGTGTGTGTGTGTGTGTGTGTGTGTGTGTGTGTGTGTGTGTTAGTGCGGCGCTGCATGTCTGCAGTCCTGCAGCACTGAGAAGGTGACTGACAGTGACACGAGCTGCAGATCTTCCTGTTCACCATTGTCTTATTTGCATATTAACATCCAAAGATGTAAAGAATGAGCTATTGGTTTCTAGCTGCTTATGTTTTGTGATATTGCTAGGGTGTTTGAATTTATTTTGCCTGTGTTGTCCGTCCTTTTCTGGCCTCATTTCTCTCTCTCTCTTTCTCTCACTCTTGCTCTCTCTCTCAGTCGGTCTCCCCTCTTTGTAATTAAGTGCTTGTGCTGAAGAAAGCAGTCGCAATGCAGCTCTGTATTTCACAGCAGTGTGGGTTAGTGTGTTGAATCGTGTGTCTAGAAAATCACATATTCAGTTCAATTCAGTTTGCTTTTCATAAACGCACATATATCATTTCAAAGCAGCTTTACAAATAATAGCATTACTAATTCCCACATGTGTTTTATGAAAAGTATTATACTTGTAATTTTCTGACAGCAAACAGAGCAAATATGAAAAAAAAAAAAACAGCAGGAGATTGTCAACATACACTGATCACATGACAACAAACATGCTGGAAATATTGATGGATAAGACTGGTGTTTATAGATGTCCTGCACCTGCAGTGGAGGGTTGTTGATTTTTTGTTTGTTTGTTTGTTTGTTTAGTTAAAAGGACATTGTACATTAATAAAACATTTCTGTAAATGTACCAGAAATAGCCAAAGGCTATTTTTCATCAGTGATGTTGCATCCCGTACTAAACAGTGATTCAGTGTGTTTAGTTAAACCCGCAGAACTGTACTGGGGTTAAAATCAATGCCGGCTATAAATCCTCGTTCCCTTCCTGTTTGATTAAGGATCTGGGAGTCTGAGATGCTGTGCTTTAGGAATCTCCATCCTGCAGTATAGGCGGGAGATTTATGGTGGTCTCTGGGACGCTGGAGGTGTCCATTGTGGGGGATGACTGGAGGATTCTGTTAAGTGAGAGCAGAGCGATGTAGTTGAAAGTCTATTTTTCCTCTTGAGCGGTCATTGAAATCACATGTATGGGATGTACATGATGCTGTTTACTGTGAAGGGAATTGTGGGTAAAGAAAAACCATCGTAATCTGACAAGAGGAGCTGTAGAGCAGAGGTCTTGATATAGAAGCAGAGCAGAGGGCAATAGATACCCAGAAAATAGGTAAAGGCCATCTCGGAATTCAAGTTAGTCCAAACTCCCTGATGAAAATTTCAGCTGGTTTAGCTGGTTTAATATTATGTCCAGTACTGACCAGTTGAAAAGTTGCCAAAAACTCTCTAAAAACATCCAAGACCAGCAAACCAGTTTAGGACGAATTAAGATTTTTAATTGTTTTGTTTTTTTGGCCTGGTCTAAAATTTGTTTTAGGAGGATGATTAGCCTAGTATATCCTTTAACTTTTTTGTCTAAACTATTTGGTTTCGGAGGACATTTATTGTATCTTAACTTTTTTTACTTTATAATTACTGTTCTTTAAAAAGATATCAACACAGCCTATTTATTTAATTTTTAATAAAGTATACTACCAAGTTTGGGCTCAGTAAGATTTTTTTTTAAATAAAGTAATATTTTATTCAGTAAGGATGCATTAAATTAAAAGTGACAGTAAAATATATATCATTTTACAAAATATTTCTGTATATAATTAAAGTGCCCCTATTATGGATTTTTGAAAATTACCTTTCAGGCAGTGTGTAACACAGCTCTAAGTGAATGAAAACATCCTGCCAAGTTTTAAATCTGAAAGTGCACCGTGTATGAAGTTATTGTCTCTTAAAAGAAAGAGTCGACTCTGAATCATTGAAACGAGTCGTTTTTAAAACGAATCCCAAGCCGTTTCATGTTGACGTCATCATGAAACATTAGCATATTGCCTGCCGACTTATTGGTGTTTTCGCGTTGGTCTTTGCCACTAGGTGCCGCTTTTGGAGCGGTAAAATAGCGGTTTCCCCGGTAACGCTGTACACAAACCAGCACTGCGCTCACAAACGCTGCTTTATCAGGCATTACAGGCATGATGAAAATGAGGCCAATCGGATCCGACCAATCACCGGCAGATTAGCGTCACGCAAAGGAGGGGTTTGGAAAAATTAATCGTTAAACGAATCGTTTGGGAGTCGTTGAGCAAGTAAGGTAAAAATAAATGCATGTTATAAGACAATGAAAGTGTTTTTTGACCTTGCATGCATGTCAACCTGTTGTTGGGGACTCCCAAAACCAAATATAAGCCTTTCATAACCCATAATAGGGGCACTTTAAATTAATGCTGTTCTTTTGAACTTTCTATTCATCAAAAATCCAGAAAAAAGTCATGGTTTTCACAAAAATATAAGCAAAAAATATGACTAGAAATCAGTGGTTAAGTTGTATTTACAACACTGTTCCAGAGCAGTTCAACCCAAATATTCAGATGTGTGCAAAGCATTTTACGGAGGACGAGGACTGTTTCCTGGGAGAGCCGCCGGTGTTCCGGTGAATTCAGTTCCCGTTTCCCCATGCTGACCACAGTCTATGATGCTGACAAATAATGCTGACTCACAGCCAAGGATTTGCCACTGATGATTCAAACGCGAGTTTTGAGCAGTGTAGAGTAGCGCTTGTTGTTTGTCATTTCTCCGATCACAAATGCAGACAGTTTTATGTTTACGCAGCGCGATGCAACGCAACGCGTAAAAAGACAGTATAAGTCATTATAATCAGTAATTATGTCCCCACTGGATGCAACAAATACCTCGTTTATAATGGGTTTTAATGTTTTTGTCTCGTCACTCCGGCCGGGACACGGCATCACAATATGGTAAGGGGCGTAACATTTCCGTCCACACGCTTGAGGTATTCGGCCAATCACAACGCATTGGATATCTGGCCAATCAGAGCACACCTCGTTTTTTCAGAACGATGAGCTTTGTAAAAATCGACGCATTTCAGAAAAGCGGGGCATAGAGGAGAAACAATAATGTAAAGTATGTGGAAAATAATGTGTTTTTTGAACCTTAAACCGCATAAACACATTTCATTACACCAAATACACAAAATAATGTTCTTTTTAGCAACATCATATGACCCCTTTAAATTCAAATGTATAATAATCAGAAATGTTTTTTGAGCAGCAAATGAGCATATTAGAATGATTTCTGAAGGATCATGTGACACTGAAGACTGGAGTAATGATGCTGAAAATTCAGCTTTCAGCATCACAGGAATAAATTACATTTTAAAATATATTAAAATAGAAAACAGATATTTTAAATTGTAATAATATTTCGTAATATTACTGTTTTCACTGTGTTTTTGAACAAATAAATGCAGGCTTGGTGAGCAGAAAACAGAATTCTGGACAATGTGAAGAGGTTTTTGTCATCTATTCTGATTTTGTGTGTGTGTGTGTGTGTGTGTGTGTGTGTGTGTGTGTGTGTGTGTGTGTGTGTGTGTAAATATTGCTGTTCGTCTGTGCTGTGGGGTAACTGACGCTCTCAGTGTGATGTGATGTGTAACTAGCGATCATATTTTGCTGGTCTGGCACATTTCTATAAAGTGAGAGAGAGAGAGAGAGAGAGAGAGAGAGAGACTAAAACAGACAGTGACCATAAAGCTGACAGAGATACAAAGCCTTTGCTGAGCCAATATCACCTACCCTCTTCATTTTTTCTTTTCATGTTAAAGGGTAGCTTCTGCTTTCATCATTTATCATATTGTCATTTTTTTCGCTCAAGCCCCACTCTGCAGTCACGCTCCAAAATTGAATGAATGAAATGTTAATCTCAAATGAGGATGTGGGCGTTGTACTCTAAAGTTATTATAAATCATGTTCACTGCACTGAATGGGTATTAAAGAGCTTCCTTCTATTAAAACGAAAGATGTAGGCTGTCAGTCAAGTAAATTAGCTTGTAATGTTATCGTAGGGAGCCGTTTAAGGGGTTATTTGCGTTTGATTTTTATCAAAAACAATCTCCTTGCGGGTTATTGGATTGGGCTGAGCTCCTGTGTTCAAACAGACTTGGTGAAGGATTTGAGGTTTTCTGGGTTGTGGATTTATTGGGCAGTCAGTGCAACTCTCAAACCTGATGATGAAAAACATGGACAATGTTTCCTTTTTTCAGGAGCCTTTATTTATTACTTCTTGTAGAGCATTAGCGCTACCTAGTGGTGTAAAAGATGTTTTTAAAAATTTGATTAAAGAAATAGAATTATATGTAATGTCTAATTATATTTTATATAATATTTCATGCTAAATTATTAAATAATTATCAAATATAACACACACACACATAAATGTACTAATTAAATGTACTGATATTCTTTTCAGGTTTATATGACACAGACACAGAAAGTATTCTCAATATATAATTATATATATATATATATATATATATATATATATGGATGGTATAAAACTATCTTATCTTAATATTAATATAATCTATTTTGATTATATTAATAATATTATCTCAATATAATATTGTACACAGATCCATATATATACTTTTACTATATAAATATGTTGTAATACATTAAATTTAGCATATTCATGCACTTTTTCTTCAGAAAAAAATATCTAGTAAAAATTAGGGATGCACGATATTATCGGACCGATATCGGAATCGGCCGATAATGGCTTTAAAATTTAAATATCGGCATCGGCCCGATATGAAAAATTATGCCGATATGTCTTGCCGATAAGAGGAATACATTAACTCACATTTGCTCATGGGTATGCTAGCGATTAGATCACGTCAGCAGTGTGGCTCATTCTTGAAGCAAAGTTTTGCCTGAATGGTGATTAGATTCACTTTTTTGGATTGCTGCATTTAAACTGAGAATGCACATACAGAATGAGGCGTTCGGTGTATGATAGAGTAAACAGTAATAGCACGTGCAGCAGCGGCATATTGGCAAAAATCCAATATCGTGCATCCCTAGTAAAAGTAGTTTATTCACATTCTGTTCTTAGGGTTCAGGATAGCATGATATGTTGCTATCTGTATAAACAAACGTCTCAACATCCTACAATATCACCTCAGAACCAAACCCAGTGCATGGACTCCACCCTTAAACAACCCACTTTCATCCCTGCGGGATATTTGTACATATTTTATCGTTATTGTACTTTTGGTATTTGAACATCTGCTTGTAGTATCTCTTTGCCCTGTAGAGGGCGCTGTGGCTGTGCTTCTTTTTTTCGTTGTAACCGTTTTTCCCCGTTACTTCCCTTAGCGCAGGTGCAGCCGTGAACAGCAGCGACAGCCTCCCCCCCTCCTCCTCTGTCAACGACATCTCCTCCATGTCCACCGACCAGACCTTGGCCTCTGATACCGACAGCAGCCTGGAGACCTCCGCCGGACCACTGGGGTGCTGCAGGTGACTAACCGCCTGCCTGCGCAACCCCATGTTCTTCAGAAGGTGAACAGCACCCGCGAACCCGAATGAGAAATCCACAAACCTCTAAAACATGAAATAAAAAAATGAGTTAATATATATATATACGTATAAAATAATGTATCACGCCCCGCGAACCCGAATGAGAAATCCACAAACCTCTAAAACATGAAATAAAAAAATGAGTTAATATATATACGTATAAAATAATGTATCACGTGCAAATGACAACAAAGTGTGCATTTTCATTCAAAGAAACGTCTGAATATGTATATTTATGAATCTTCACTAGTTGCTTTGCTTTGAATCCCCCTCATATGGCATCCAAAAAAAATAAGGAGACTTCAAAAAAAAAAAAAAGGAATACATTTGGGCATCTATGTAAAGTGTATATTGACTGGCTGATATCTAATACCTTGCGATTTTATGTGCGTCACTTGATGTGGCAGGGTGGGCTTTTATTTTAATGAGCACTGATCAACCCTTGTTTTCTGTGATGGTTTTTTGCTTGTGCGGATGTTTTTGGACGGGCCGGTGTGTCTGTGTGCGATTTCTCCTATAGGGTAAAATAACATGTACAATGGCGCCCCCTATCTTTTGTATATATGTAATTGTGTACAGTTGTGAGGCGTTTTCAGAGTGGGACTGACGGCCAGTAGAGGGAGTATTTGCACACCTTGCCACATCACAGATAATCAGCCGTTTCCCTTTGCCTGTAGTCTTGCATGGTCAGAGAAAAAAAAGTAATTAAGCTAATTATACATATACAAATATAGAGAACCGTGTTTATATAACATTTAAGGGTGAAAGTGGGCGTTTCAGACGCTTGACAGGAAGTGAGGCTGCTTAACAGGAAGCCATTGAGGGGTACAAGCACTGTCTCTGTCATTTTTTTACTTTCAGCAGCCCTGCTTTTTGTGTTTGTGAAACTCCGACTCTCTGCGACAGCCTTGCATGCTGTGCCGTCACCCTTGAAAGGTGTGTGTAACTAAGACGAATGCAGGTCGAGCGCATGCACCTCATCTTCACCTTTTGTTCCTCGCAAACTAAATCTCATCTCGGAACTCATATTTGTGTGCTGTCCGAAGGGAATCAATGTGCTTACTACCTAAATTTAAGCTGGAGTTTATTTATTAAACCTATTTATTGTCAGATCTGGGAAGTGCCTTTGAAATAATGCAGTTTCCTCCTTGAAAACATGAATATAGTAACGCGACGACTCTGATAGAGGTGTTCCAGGTTGTGTCGGATGTGTCAGGTCTGTTTACCCAATCCCACAATCCCCTATTCATGTAGATTTACTAGTGTAGAGATCCGGCTTGTGTTTGTCAAATATGTTTTGGAGCCACTGTTGCGATGTAACCCCCCTCTTCACATTTAATTGTTACATTTAAAAAAAGACAAGTAATGTAGTCTTTCAAACACACATGGCTGATGTTTTTAGTATTGGGTAAAGATTCGCTTCATTAAATAAACAGTATGCAGCATACAGTAAATTGAAAAGATATAATATTTAAGTTGTACGGTTTTGTTTTGTACCTGTATTTGTCCGATTTAATCCGTGTACTAAACATTTTAATAAAGGGATGAAATACACATGATTTTTTTTTTGGTTTGTTTATGTAACAGAGCTCTCATTTTATAACTCCTTCTCACCCAGAAACACTCTTTTGTCAATAAAATCCTTTCATTATTATTTCAATTATTTGTATTTTTCGGTACACATTATATAGCATTGCATGTTAATGCTTATCTGATTCAGCTGAAAGGAATAGTTCACCTAGAAATGGAAATTTGTTCAAAATGTACTTACCCTCAAGCCATCCAAGATGAAAATGAGTTTGTTTCTTCATCAGAACAGATTTGGAGAAATGTAGCATTACATCACTTGCTCACCAATGGATCCTCTGCAGTGAATGGGTGCCGTCAGAATGAGAGTCCAAACAACTGATAAAAACATCAGAGTAATCCACACCACTCCAGTCCATCAATTAACATCTTATGGTATGAAAAGCTGCGTATTTGTAATAAACAAATCCATTATTAACACGTTTTAACTTTAAACTGTTGCTTCTGGCCAAAATATGACTCCATAATCCATAAAAAATGCTTCATCCTGTGAAAAAGTCAGTCCCTGTTGTCCTCTAACATCAAAATCTGAGCAGCAATTTTGAACTGTTATCGCATGTAAAAGGTGCTTGATCTCTGCATATTTCTCTCCTGATTCAAACGAGAAGACTTTTTTTTACTGGAGAAAGCAGTATTATGGATAGAGGACTGAAATTTTCAGCAACATTTCATTTTTGGGGTGAACTGTTCCTTTAAGCACATGCAGAAACGTGCTCAGATTATGCTTTTGTTTTCATGTTAACACTAATCAAACATGATTGAATTTTTTGCACACATTTATCACCTCTGACATCATATATTGACCCTTGTAAGCATGATTACATATTCTAGCCTTCTGTTAGACACTGAGAACTGAATATGATATCATTCAGGTGCTGCTTTATTACGTTCAAAAACAAAACAAAACTCAGAACTTTGATAGCAGAAGCCTTTTAAAGACCCGTTTTAATTGCATGAACATTAGCAGAAGTTTCCCAGCCTAATCAGACATTTTCACCATAACAATCGTCATCACAATTTCCCACAGTTATACATATCATCTCCAGAGGACAGAGAGGGGTTCTTGGGAGGTCTCCAGTCTCTGCAAACTACTTCAATATGGCTGCTGATGATTTTACAACAGGGTGGACACGTACATACAGTAGCTTTTGTAATTCACTTGTTAGAATTCAATACTAAATGTAAAACGTTGCGTTGTGTATCCAATTTGTTTCATCTTAGAATAGACGGACAACAATGTAGTGTGCCATCTTGCATTTTATACAGGTTATTTTTCAACGAAAGGGCCCTTGTATCTGTCGGGTCGCACGCAGGGTTAATTTTTGCGAATCCATCATCTCAATCATCCGTTTTGAATCTTTGCATCATTTAAACCAGTTATGAAATGAGGCTCAAAGCATTGACTTGATATATTAACTCAGCCCAGGAGTGTGTACTTCTCCCATGGTGCTTCAAATAACAAACGTTGGGATTGATTTTGGAATGGCTTCTGATCAATGTAGGTGTCAACACTGAACGTTTGTACTGTTCACACTGTTATAATGCTGCTTCTGAAACCAGCGTCCATTATAAACCTGCGACACAACGCAGAACAGTGATCTACTGTACATGGGATGCCACTGCGTTTGGCATTGTGGGTAAAGTACTGAGTGTTAAAGCTGAGCGTTGCAATATGTTCTGCATTGTTGAGTTTGACTGTGTCTTGTGAAAGTGGGAGTGCAGTTTGTGAGCAGGAAACAAAAGATTGGAAATAATGTAACTTAATGTGCTATTATGATGTCATCATTGAAACGCAAACTGATTGGTCGAGATGGTGGCCTTGTGAGAAACGTTCACTGTTAGAGAACGGAATTGTAAAAAATTCCCAGGTTGTTGTTTTTTTTGAAGGTTTTGATTAAAACCGTTCATTATCCAGTCTTGTATGTTCATAAATAAATGCATGTTCACTAGATGAAACAGTCCAGCAGCTCCCAGTAAACACATCTGTCATGTCATGTTTGAAATGAGTGTATTTAATGTTATATTTTAGTATGACGTACATACTTCCATCCAAACAAACTGCACAACAGCGTACCGCTGCTGAATCAAAGTGCCGTTGCAATCACAGGAAACACTCAGAGCCATACAGAGCACTTCATCCTTTTCTATTAACTCATTTCACTTAGATTTTCCTTCTTTCTTTCCATTTTCTTCCATTTTTCATTTGACTTCCTCAGTTCCTTCTTGTTTCCTTTTCTTCCTTCACTTACTTTTTGTTCCTTTTCTGCCCTTCTATTCTTGTTTTCTTTCTTTCTTTCTTTCCTACTCTTCTTCTTTCTTTTCCTTTCTTTTTTCCTTTTCTTCCTTTCCTTCTTCCTTTCTTAGTTCCTTCTTGTTTCCTGCCTTCTTTTTCTTTCTCCTTTTCCTCCCTTTACCGTCTTTATTCCTTTCTTTCTTTGTTTCCTTTCCATCCTTCTTTTCACTTTCCTTCTTCCTTTATTTCCTTCCATCATTCCTTCCTTCCGTTCCATCTTCTTTCTCTTCCTTCCCTTTCTTTTCCTTCTTTCTTTCTTTTCTTTCCTTCTTTGTTGCTTTAGGTTTCCTTTCCTGTCTTCCTGTTTCTGTTCCTTTTTCTTTTTACCTTGTCATTTTCATTTTCCTCCCTTCACTTTCCATATTTCTTTTTTTCTTTTATCATTCCTTCCTTCCCTCTGTCTTTATTATTGTTTTCCTTCCTGTTTCCTTTCCTTATTTCTTCACTTTCCTTCTTTCGTGCTTTTCGTGTTGTTTCCTTTTGTTCTTCCTGTTTCCATTCCTTTCTTCCTTCCTCTTCCTTTCTTTTTCATTTGTCATTCCTTCCTGTTTCCTGTCATTTTTTGTTTCCTTTTGTTCCTTCTTTCTAAGCTTCAGAAACCACAGGAATGCAATATCACGACTCTTAAAGTGTGGATGAATGATGGATCGTTTTTGTAATCATGATTTAACGTCGTGTGCTAGTTAATGTGACGAGTCTCATGGTGATGTTTAACTCAATCAAGTCTTTATGGTTTCATTTTGACACGGACGGTATTTTTAAGCCTCTTTCTCCGTCTCTCTCTTTCCGTGCTGTCAGTGAGCCATTCTGTTGAGGGTTTCAGATGGAGACTGTGGTTCTTTACGCAGTGCTGTTTGATATCTAACGTCATTTTCACACCTCCTGCTCAAGGCTGTTATTCAAATCAAATTATTCTACAAATGCAAGATGAGATGGTTGGGTAAAAAATAAAAATAAAAATTAAAGATTTAAACAGCACTATGGCTTGCTGTTAGCACCCAATATTTTAAAGGTACTGTGTATGTAATATAAATATCTGTATGTGACTGAAAATAAACTCCTTTGACCTTGAAATTAAATGTCATCATTTGCATGCCTTAAGTATTAATGAATTTCAAGACCTAGACATGTAGGTGACTGGTGTATATATATATATATATATATTGTTGACAACATGTCTACTTTATATTAAAATGTATATGAATGTGATAAGGGAAAGTGTATATCTTCGGCACTGTAACTGGTCTCTATGTGGTATTTTAAATGACCTTTTTGACATCAGAGGTTCATTTTAAATGTGCATATGGTGTTACAAATGAATTTTTAAAAAGTATGAATATTCATATAGATTCTCAGTTAATATAAGGTCATAAACACTGCATGCACAATAATTGCATTAACAGCAAGATGCTGCTTAAATTAGTATTTCAGTTTACCGTAGCATATTCATGCCACATGACCCCAAATTTCCTGGTATTTAATGTCAACTAATAAATTAACTAAAAATATGCTAAATTATTAGTGATCCATGATTAGTATAGATTTATAATACAGACACAAATATGAAAAATAGGGAATTCTTGGCCTTTTTAATCACAGCTGATCACCTATGGAGTCTTTCTTCGAATTTCTCAAGCTTGCACAGTTCCTACACCAGATGACCTGTATATTGTACATGACCTGAACACAGATATTTTGTTTTTTCTTAGAAAAACCTTAATTAAGTTGATTTACCCCATTGGCCAATTAAAAAAAAAATTGTTTTAAGCAAAACCCGCCCTAAACTGTTAGATTTATGCTTAAAAAATATTATTTTTAATACTGATGAATAAAATGTTTTATTTGCAGTGATAAATTATGCAAAAAAGCAACAGGGAAGACTGATATTGAAAAATTTGCCACATCTCATATCGTACCATACTGAAAAACAACATAGCAACTCATATGCTTTAAGTGCAAGGAAAAGCCTTGATATAAAATGTATACGTAACACATTGACAATTCTCAGTTTAAATATCAGTACGTATATTAAACATTAATTTGCATTTATACAGACATTTGTTTTTCATTGTGGAATATTACTTTATATACACGAGAGGATACATGACAGCTCAAGGACACATTTGGTTGGATCACAAGAAATACGAGTGACATTCGTGCTTCTGTCATCCTTCAGGAGTTAAAAAAAAAAAAAAAAAGCTGAAATAAAATAACGTTACCATGATTTCAGATGGATCATGTGACACTGAAGACTGGACTTTAAAAATGCTGATAAAAATTCACCTTTGCCATCACAGGAATCAATTACATTTAATATAAAACAGTTATTTTAAAATGAAATAATATTTCATAAATATTAGATTAAAAATCACAATGTTTCCTATGTACAAATACTTAAATTGCTAAAACTGAAATAAAAATAAAGCTAAATAGAAATGTAAAAATAGAAAAAAAAAAAACATAAAATATTTAGAATATAAATTATAAATATAAAATAACACTGTTCCACACTTTAAAAATCCCTTTAGAAAGATATTACAGCTGCACTTGTCATTGGTGCTTGTGTTTCGTATCCATATGTGACATACAGTATCAAGTGTGACTGTGCAAAGCAAATGAGATTTGATAGCTGTGGCAGAGGAAGTGTTAATTTGTGTTAAATGACTTGGAATATAGTCAAATTTAACACTTTTATCATGCTTTACTTTTTTGAGTTCTGCAGGTCTTGCAGGTTTGGAAATGATGCTCCAATTTATTCTTGCAACTTTTAGTGAGAGATTGCAACACAATGTTGGGAAATGTTCCTAAATGAACATCCACACCTGCACATACATGCACAAATGCATTACAGTGAGAAAAGCATATGAAAGCCCACCCCAGATTCAGAATGGGTCAATATTCCCATGATTTTGTTGCATTTTGCGTCATGCTGTGTGTTTTGGTGCATTTTTAACGATTGGACACAGCTTTAAATCACAAACAGTTTTTTTTAGGACATTGACTTTAGTTAATGGACAATGTCCAGAATTTGTTTGGGGGGCTGTTATCTTATTAATGTTCATTTTGTAGTTGTAGAGATATCAGACCACCCACAGATTTCATGTGTGGCCGAGTCGAGCGACTGATACAATGACACAATAAAATTTGTAAGTTTAATTGAGGTCACATAATTTAATTTCCTTGCATTTCACTGAATGCATCAAGCTACAGTAGAAGCATGAACAGCTGCGACAAGGCAAGTGACCCCACATGATCCGAGAGATGAACAAACCCCATCTCAAGCTTCATTTTAACAGACTTCCTCCTGTTTAGCACCACTGAAAGCAAATGATGTGCGACATGCACAAATGACAAAGACAGGCTGAGCGTTTGCCCTGTTTTCACAAGTATTTACAGGTCTCCTTGTCTACTTGGTTTTGGTCATGTGGGGAACGCTGTGGCACTGCAAAAAAATCAGATTCTCCATCAATATTTTGGTCTTCAAGAAATACGAGTGACATTCGTGCTTCTGTCATCCTTCAGGAGTTTCCCATCATCTAAAACTCAATGTTCATTCATGTAATTAATTCACTCTGTCACATTCAACCACAATCATCAAGAGTTCCTCTTACAGTTCACTCTCAGGTCATAAGAGTCAGAATCACCTTCTTTTCGGTTTGATGATCATCTCACCTTAACATCCAAGCTGCATCATCCCATCACCCCTTTTTATGATCCAACAGGTTCAATCCAACAACTGGTCCACGTTCGGTTCTGAAAATTTTGGCTCAATGGGCTTCACTCAGCCGTGTCGAACCTTTGCACCAAACATGCAAAGATGCCGTGAAGGTTGATTTAGTCACGTTCTGTCTGAACACAAGCCTATACAATGTAACACGACTGGTCATTGAGAAATGTTAATGGTAGACTGTTAACGGCTCACTGGATCCAGATGGTGTTGGCTCTGTCGGGCCGTCGCGGGTCTGCGGTCAGGTCTCCGAAGGTGGAAAAGAACTGCTCCATCTCTTTCTGCAACATCTCGTTTCTCTTTTCCGCATCGTCCTTGGCTCGCTCTGCGTTTCTCAGCTTAATCTCCACCATGGTGTATTTCTTCTTCTCCTGGTCAAGCTCTTCGTGTAGATTCGCCATCACCGTCTCCAACTCTAGATTCCGAAGTTCCAGACTACATGGAAGATGGGAAAAGTTGGGTAAATACACCTTTTAATACTGTGATAGTTTAATGAGACACTTAAAGGGTGATTTAGGTAAAAGTCAATTCTATCATGGAGCACCAAAAAAAATGAAATAAAATAAATATAAACTTCAAAAACAACAAACACTATAAATCTTGCAATATTTTATAAAGTCGTACGATCATTGTGAGGAAGAGAGAAATTCAGACATTTAATCACTGAAAATCTTCTGGTCTGGTTTTTCATTTATTTTAAATAAGTAAATATTTTTATTTTATTAGAAGTATTTTTTCAGTTTAATAAAAATATGTATTTTTTTTCCAAATATATATTTTTTTATTTTATTAAAAATACGTATTTTTCCCCATTTTATTAAACATAACTAAATATTCTCTTCATTACATTAAAAATAAGTAAATATTTGTAATTTTATTCAAATAAGTAAAAAATATTTTGTTAATTTTATTAAAAACAAGTAAATAAATAAATAACCAAATATATATTTATATTATTTTTTGTAATTACATTTACATAATTACATTTTTTATTTGATTTATTATTATTATTATTTTACTTTATTTTTTATTATTATTATTATTATTTATTTATTTATTTTTTTCATTTTAGGTGTTTCTATTCCATTGATTTTTTCTTTTCTTTTCTTGTTTTAAACAAAAACCTCTTTACATTGCTAGGTTAATTATTTTATTGCTGATGAAGAAAATTGACAAAAAAATTGGTGAAAAATTAAAATTTGTGCAGCGATAAATTATCCAAAAAAGCAACAGGGAAGACAGAACAATACTCAAATGTTTGCCACATCTCATGTTTATACCATACTGAGTGTGTGTTTATGTAAAATATTTCTTTGTTTGTTTTTGTTTCATTTATTTTGTTGGTTATTTCCCTCATTTTATTTCAGTTTTCTCCTTTCATTTCCCTATAAATTATATACAGTAAATGCAAACTGATTTGTTGTAGGAAGGAATGCGGGTAGCAAACAATCAGGGCGAAAACTGACATGAGATTTTCATTTGTTTTATTTTCTACTCATTTTTAATGTCACTAAAACGGTGAAAAAACATCATTAGTTTGTGTGCTCTGAAAAGTTTACTTTTTGGTTGAACATGACTCTTACCTCTTAATCCTGGCCTCGTATTCATTCTTCTGCTTGAGCATTTCCTGTTTGAGACTGGCCACCAGGCTATGCAGTGCACTGTGGTTGGTCGGTCCATTTGTGACGGCAAACGTTTCGCTGTTATCGCTGCTGCTGGTTCCTCTGCTTCCCGGGCCTCCTCCGTTACTGGTCCGCTGCTCCCTATCGTCCACCACCGGTCCGTTGTCCTCCTGTACTGGCCCATCCAACAAAGGATCCTCAAAGTTGTTGCCAAAGAAGTCCTGCTCTGGGCACGTGGTTGTGGAGGAGCGGCAAGAAGTCAAGTTTCCGGGTAGGGAGATCTCGCAAGACGAGGTGGACCATGTGGCGCTATCCACGCTCTGTTTGTCCTCACAGCTGCTGCTCAGACTGGGCTGCGTGGTCTGCTGTTGATGGATGTGGACGTTGTCGTACGTGGACAGGCGGTTCTGCTGGTGCTCGGCGTCTCGACTTTTAGCCTCACGCATCGTGACGTGACCGTTGGGCACCCAGAGTCCATTCCGTCCATTTAGAGTCCCATTCGTCACGTCCGTGCTGGATACGCCCATCCGAACGATGCCATTCTGGACGCCCATTTTGGTGCCCGAGCCTTTTATCACACCCGTCCGACGGGCATGAAGGGTTCCCATGTTTGGAAGAGCCTGACTTTTCTCCAGATTGGCATCACCTGAGGATGACGTTGACGAGCTGAACGATCCGTTGGTGACAATCCCGCTCCCTTTGCTAAACGCTGGGTTCTTTTTCACTGCTAGTGGCGGACTGCGGGCCACCTCGAAATGCTGTCCTGTAAAACCATTACGCGGGCTGCCCGAACGGGGAGAGCCGTTGTCCAGAGGAGCCCGGCTGGGTGATTCGGGTGCGTCCCAAGTGCACTGTCGCACACCACTGGTGTTATTGTTCTCTTTGTTTTGTAGCTGGCCATTCGTAGGCCGTTTCTGCGTCTCATTATTGTTATTATTAACCATTTCCGGGGTGCTAGTATGGTCCTCATCGGGTGGGAAAAGAACATCATGCTGACCAATCAGAACGGCCATCAGCTGCTGGACCAGTACTGTGCCTGCACACGACAAACAGATCACTCAAACACTGAAAATAATCATGATTCAGAGATTTCTGGAGTCAGAGATATGGACAAGACCTACCTTCCATTATAGTCACTGGGTCCTCAAACTTTGGCCTCAGAATATTTGGCCCAAAGACTGTAGCCAGGTTCTGTACACTCATTTTATTCACACCGGAGTAGGACTGAACTTCATCCAAAAATCTGGACAAGAAAGAAGGGTCAACCTTACAACTGAGATTTCTGAAACTGTATGTACAAAGTTGAATGTGTAGAGAAAAAATGTAAATAGATAGAGAAAAAAATGTAATAGTAATTGAAAATCAAGTGGTGGGCCTATTTATTTATTTATTTATAAATGGTACTTGATCGTTGCAAACAACAAAATTCACAACAAATGAATGAGAAGCCTGAGACCTTTGCAAAAAACTTGTGTTGTCAAAAGTGTAAAATTAATATTATGCTATTAAAATAACACAAAAGTAATTTAACATAAGATCACAAGCAAGTTTTTTTTCAAAGACAGCCACTTATTTCATTCCTGAATTCATCAGAATGAATCGACTGAGTGAATTGACTCAGTGACTCACTTAAAGACAGTCACTTGTTTTGTTCCTTCCATCAGTGATTTTCAATTAATTCATTGAGTGAACAGGCTCAATGACTCACTCAAAGACAGTCACGTTTTTCATTCCCAAATGAATCAGTGTTTTTGAATGAATTGATTGAATGGATTGATTCAGGAACTCACTTACAGACAAGTCACTTATTCCGTTCCTGAATGCATCAGTGTTTTTGAATGAATCAACTGAGTGAATTGACTCAGTGACTCACTCATAGACAGTCACTTGTTTTGTTCCTTCCATCAGTGATTTTCAATGAATTCATTGAGTGAACAGGCTCAATGACTCACTCAAAGACAGTCACGTTTTTCATTCCCAAATGAATCAGTGTTTTTGAATGAATTGATTGAATGGATTGATTCAGGAACTCACTTACGGACAAGTCACTTATTCCGTTCCTGAATGCATCAGTGTTTTTGAATGAATCAATTGAGTGAATTGACTCAGTGACTCACTGTAACCTACAGAGTCACTGAAAAAATCTCACCACTAGTGCACAGAACTATTACATTTTGTGATAAGCCACAACTGAATGGAATAGAATACAAAATCACCTACTTGCATATGTATTTAAGCAGATTGTAGTTTACCGTAGGTAGACCTTCTACTTGCCTTCTTAATTCCTTCATTCCCTGCACAGAAAGAGATTTTAAAAGATCAATTAAATACACATCTAGGATAAAAAGAAATACAAATGTATGCATTTGTTTAAACTGATTATAGTAATTCAGTTTTAAATGATCTGGACTAATATACATGATTAAAAGACGTATTGAATCAAAAGACAATTAAACCTGTCCCATTGCTTTTAAAAGTCTGTTGAACTCTTCCAAATTGACTTTAAATATTCATATTGCAATTTATTTCGTTATTACTACGCTATTCGTCTAGGCATGGGTCAGTGAGTTTAACAATTGATGATGGTTCTAGATTTAATGATGCGCTCCATTCCAGATCTGTTTTTATCATGGTCGATATGTCTTTTCCCTGCAGGCTCTCTCTGATGAAAATGACTTTGCTGCACCACATGAGAAAGCTATTTCTCAAAAACAAATGGATCTAGTAAAGCCTCCTGCTTCATTTGACATGGTACCATGATGCTTTGCGTGTACCGCACTCGAGGGACTCTCAAAGGTACGAATCTCGTTCAAAACCTCGGGGCAGTAAATTAAATTCAGTGTTGCAAGACACAGTCTTGCACTTTGATTCTATCCTGAAACGATTCAAAAGCCGCTGGCTGGATGCACCGGTGTTTCACACGAGGTAAAAGTTTAACTTGAAAGTCAGAATGAGGCTGTTTCCGTTCCTCAGGGTCAACCCGTTCTTCCTCAGGCTCAGCGAAAGTAAAGAACTGATGTACGTGAGATGAAAGACGACTGCGGTAGAATAATGAGATGAGTCATATGCCATTCTCTCAGCCTCCTGGTGGGAACCGAACTCAAACAAAAAGTAAGAAATAGCAAGAGGAGGGGAGCCAAAAAGTTCAACAATATTTTGAGTCTACAGTGAGGCTCATTATATAAAAAAACAACATACTTTACTTTTATTCAGTCTGTTAACTTTAGGAATGGTGTAGCTTAGTTAAAGATCTGGATGTTAAAACAAGTGCTGTAAAATACTAAATGACAAACAACAACAGAACCAGAGCTACAGTCCCTTTAGTTCAGGCCTAATTTGCCTCATTTTATTTTAGTATCCCTCTTTAAACAGTGAACTTTATGTAAACTTGAGAAACTTATTTCATCTGTTCATCAGGATTGAATTTGAAAGAAAGAAATACTTTATATATTCAGCAAGGGCACATTCAATTGATCAAAAGTGACAATATTATGTTATAAAAAGATTTCTTCTTCAAATAAATGCTGTACCTTTGAACTTTCTATTAATCAAAGTATCCTGAAAAAAAAAAAAATCACTTTTTGCACAAAAATATTAAGCAGCTCAACTGTTTTCAACATTGATATTAATAAGATTTTTTTTTTTTTGAGCTGCAAATCAGCATATTAGAATGATTTCTGAAGGATCATGTGACACTGGAGACTGGAGTAATGATGCTGAAAATTCAGCTTTGCATCACAGGAATAAATTACATTTTTAAATATATTCAAATAGAAAATAGATATTTTAAATTGTAATAATATTTCACAATATTACTGTTTTTGCTGCATTTTTGATTAAATAAATGCATGCTTGATGAGCATAAGAATCTTCTTTCACCACCATTAAAAAAACATTACCCACCCCAAACATCTGAATTGTAGTATATGTATATGTGACCCTGGAGCACAAAACCAGTCTCAAGTCGCTGGGGATTGACCGTTATGACTGGTTTTGTGGTCCAGGGTCACATATGGTAACTTCCATTATTAATGACACAAACATTTGAAGAAAACTACTGCACCCTTGAGTAATAAGACATGCTACCGCCACAAAGTATATAGAACAGGACTGTATGCTTTTAATGTGATGGTCAACAAGAGACAACTCACTGCATCCAGGTCTTTACTGAGGAGTTTGGTGCAGGCCAGAAACTCTTCGTATTTACAGAACGGGATGACCGGCTCAGGCAGCTCTCTTAAATACAGCTTCAACAATGATGCCACGGTGTGAACGTCTGTGTTACTGCAGAGAAAGATGGAAAGAATAGGCATATTAATATAAAAAAAAATCATAAATGCCTCAAAGAATGAAAAGCTAGAAGCATAAAGTGTGTAAAAACAGTGTAGGACCCTTTAAATGACAGATTGTGGGCATCCCTGTGTCAGTATCCCAGTGGATCTAATGATGAGTAACAGAAAGCTGGTACTAAATCAAAGAAAGCACTAGCACGTCACTGATCAGTCCGGTAACGGCCCCATAGAGGACCTGGGCTTGTGACAATCCCGTAACAAGCTGGATTTATTGACACTTCCCGGGTGGGCTGGACAGGAATAGCAGGCATGTGTATAGTGTAACCGTCAAATGCATATGCTGTGTTTTGACCCTTTATAATTATCACCTTGCTTCAGACACCAGTAAGTTCTAAATATGAACAGTGTTGAATATGCAGTATGCTTTCCCTGACGTGTCTCTTCCCGACAACGTGATCGTGGAGCCCTGACAGCCATCGCTAAAATCACAGACTGTAAATAAACTGGGAAGCATCTGCTGCTGTTATCTGCAGCGTTTGGTATTATGGAAGTGCAGAGAAAGCTTTTTCAGAGAGAGAAAGGGTCCAGCGTCTACATTTGTAATGTGAAGGGACATTAGCTTAAAATGAACATTATTTCACTTTCAGGCGAATTATGGATAATATCTACTAAATGGTAAATGGGTCATTTGGGAAACTCCACAGAGAGAAGCATGTATTTGGAAAAACATCTGATAAAGGGAGAAAAAGACAAAATAAAAACACCTGGAGGTGTTAAAAAGGAAGAATTTGTCTTGCTAATATATAAATGTGAATTTTCGGGTGAAGGTTCCAAGTTTAAATTCTGATTCATTGTAATGTCAGACATCTGAGAAGAAAGCAAATCTATTTTAAAGATGGCACACTTATGGGTTTTAATATAAAGTGAAAGTATGTCGAACAAGCTTCATAGGCTCTAAACAAAGCTGTCAACAGCATCTTTTTGCCTTGATTCGTCACTGGAGCCAGAGTAAACTTGGATTTAATGAGGACTCATTTCAGGCATTATATGGTACTTCTATGCTAGATGTCATTTACATTTATGCATTTAGTAGAAGAGTTTATCTAAAGCGACTTACACTGCATTCAAGTTACACACTACCATTCAAAGATTGTAGTCTGTAAGATTTTTAATATGTGGCCTTAATATTCTGTGTAAACTGTGATTGATTTCTTTTCAGGATTATTTGATGAATATAAAGTTCAAAAGAACAGCATTTATTTGAAACAGAAATCTTTTGTAACATTTCTAAGCATCTTTACTGCCACATATTATCAATTTATGCATCCTTGACCCTAAACTTCTGCATTGTTGTAATGTGGTGTTTTGGGTTGTGTTTCTTGTTCATGTTTTCATGTCTTTTATTTTGTAGTTTGGTCCCTGTCAGTGTCATGCTTCCCTTGCCCTCATGTATCTCTGCCTTGTGTATGTGATCATGTTCTGTCATATGATTCCCTTGTCTGTGTGTTATGTTCTGATTTGTTCTTTGGTTCATGTGTCATGTTCTGATTGGTTGTCCTAGTCATGTGTCTTGTTTCCCATTGGTTTGTTCTTGTCATGTGACCCTCCTTGTCTGTTATAAGTAGCCATGATGTTGTCATTGTTCTTGGTCGTGTATTGATGTTGTAACCCGCTGTCGGTGAGTCTAGTCTGTTCATGCCACGTCAAGTCTGTTCATGTCAAGTCAAGTCTGTTCATGCCATGTCAAGTCAAGTCTGTTCATGTCAAGTCAAGTCTCGGATTATTGTTTGGATGTTTGGATCACTTGTAAATAAACTGCACATGGGTTCTTCACTACGCTCGCCTTCAGTGGACTGATTCGTTACAATTGTAGTGTATCAGTTCATATACATTCCCTTGCAATCAAACCCGTGACCTTAGTGTTGCTAGCGTCACACTTTACTGTTTGAGCTACAGGAATCTCCGGCATTTTGGTTAACAGCTTCATCAGAAAGACCTTGATGGTTAAAATGAGACCAGCAACAAACCAGCACATGGAAAGATCTAAGATGTTTTTTTTCAGCAGGGGAATGAAAGATTGCAGCATTCCGTGCATTTTAGCTCCCAGCCCACCTATTTACAACCAAATCCTCATTCAAATCCTCCATGACTATTGTATTTATATTTCTCAATGTGAATGTTCCTGAGACAAAGAAACACACTGGAGAGAGACGATAAGGAAGGCAAGAGAGATAATACAGAAAATCTGGACTAATCTGAATGAGATTATTTAGAAGATTTAAAGTCTTGCAGAATCCTTTCATATTCATAACAGAGACTGTAAGTGCATTTAGCAAGTGCAAGTACCAATCAAAAGACGGCTTCTCTCCACAGTCGAAAGCATCCTGAAGCTCTTTGACGAGGTTGGCTTGTCCGGGCAAACGGAAGAGCCCTTCTTCTCGTAAACCCCAGTGGCGGATGAAGTCCACACACTGCTCCACCAGCATGGGCGCCATCTTGTTGCCATAACGACGTTCATATCGAACCGTCTCTTCCAACTTCTGACCAAAGATTCCTGAAACAGAAACCCATAGTTTATAAGGATCAGATACTAAGGTAAGATTTAAGAACAATCTGATGATTCTACACAATAACTTTGAGATACCCCGGCTGAGAAATTGAAATCTTTTGATTTATTTTAATTTAATGGTACTTATTATTGGTACAAAATTATAATTATTAATCTTATTATTGCATTAAATTGACAGACCTAAATTACATGTGAATATTTTTGGTGGTTATTGTTATCTTTTATATTTTATTGAATATTTTAGGTAGGCTATTGTTATGGAAAGTAAGAAGTCTTGAGCTATCTAACAAATCTTTTAGAGCCTTAAAAAAATAGTTTTAACAAGTGGAAAGCCCATGTTGAAAAACAATTGATTCCTCTATTCCTATACGTAGACAAAAGTGAGGAGGAGAGCTGCTAAAGAAGCCTGATTTAAGCTATTCTTTCACGTCACGCCCTCTGAGAAGAAAATCGCACACTTCCTCTCCTGCCCTGTTCTTTTGTCTGCATCAGTCGGGCTGAAAACAAGCGTGATTCACATGTGGCATGCATATGAGCAGGGATTAGGCCAGACTTCCTGGAAGCTTTGGATCGGTGGCGCTTTCCGGGTCTCTGGACACAGACATGTGGTACGAGATGGTACAAATTCAACTAAGCCTAGAATACAGGAAGGGTTTTGCCGCCCTTTCCTGCCTAAGCTGATGGAGAGGAAAAAGAGGTTGGACACATAAGAGAAACAATATTTCACATTTTCTTTGATTATTCACATTCAAAAGAAAGTCTGACTCACCATGTTTGAAGCTGACGCAACTTTTAATTTTACGGAAGAGACTTCCGTGCATGAAACTGTAGTAAAATAAGGGATGCAAGAAGGTGCATCCAAACTGTCTGCCTCTGAGCATCTTCAAAAATAAATCCAAAGTTGCCTACAATCACACCGCTGCCGGAAAATCATCCAAAATGTTCTTGGCTAGGGAAAAAGCTTTGGGAACTTTGAGAAGATCCATAGCTGGATCACAACTGGACCTCAAAATAATGAAAGAAAAAGGACTTGACTTTTCTATATACATCCCTTTCTGGATGAATAAACAGAAATTTCCTATGATGCATTTCTGTTATAAATGGTGACCACACAGGTGTGAGACGGTGATCTGGCAAAAAAAAAAAAAAAAAAAATCAATGTAGACA